TTTGCTAGTGGATTAGGGGTGGTGGTTTCACCCCATGTCTCTCTCCTAATCTTCCTCCTAAAAACCAAACCTCTTGCTTTTGCTGGAGTTCGCCAGGTACCCTCTGGCCGAAAAAAAAGGACTTTTCCAAGACTGCTGTCCAGCCCAGGCGGTCTTCCACTTCGGACACTCGTCCAGAGCCGGTCGCGTGGGGGATCCGTTCCCGTCTGCGTCGCGTCTCCTCGACGCCGCTCACCTGGCGCGCTTCTTGAAGCTGGAGCTTGCCCAACTTGCTCCTCACTCAGCTCAAAAACATCTCAAAACACCCCGGTGTTGCCGGGGCAACCCGACAGGCCGACTGATGTGCTATGGAGATGGATGTGCTACGTATGTATGTGGGTGTGCGGAAGGCGACTGGATCAACGTCCAATGCTCACCTTGGAACGGAGCGTGCCAAAATGCTATCCATTTCAGGCTTCCATGGTAGTGCCAGTCGCTGAGTGGGTTCAATGAAGTAGACATGCGGGAGATGTTTCTCATCAATGATTGAAGTGGGTTGTAGCAATGCCATCGGCCGTTTCTGAAGCCATGGACGCCATGTTGCTTGTGAAGATTATTATGTAATGGGCCGGAGTATGACCACATTTTATATCAGCTTCCTTGCTTTGCATGGCCTTGCCATCCCAGCCACTCACTGTAGCTAGGTGGGTACATCCAAATAATTCATCTTGTCAAACCGTCACTCATCATGTTGCTGAACCTTGGCATGATGGGCCGCACCTCAAGCGTTGCAAAATGACGTCCAAGTAGGGTGAGAGCTCCGGGATCGGGCCGTGGTAGGCAGCAAAGCCCTGAACGAGAGACAATGGCGCAGGCATACTCAAAACTCTGTAGATGGGGGTGTGCCCACAAAAGACCATCACCAGGATAACATAGAATGATAGTTGATGGAAAAGAACAGGCTAGCTTTCAAAGGCTCCCAGCATTCCTTAAGGGGAGATACAGAAACCTTACAACAAGCACAAATTATACTGTATGTCTTTTACGCGGTTTCATCACAGCAGTATGAGCGGCTGACCGAGTTGGAAGCCGGTCCTCACCAGATGTTGCAGCCATGGAAAAAGGATTTCAACTCTTGTAGGGCGGCCAACGGTCACGCCGAACAAGGTTACAAGGATATCATGTGGCACAAACCCAACAACAGGTCTTTCTTTTATAGCTCTTTGGATCTCTTATATGCTCAGTGTTCCAAAAACATGCCCAAAGAGCAACACAACAAAATACACCTGGTGCACAAAACGCTGCATCCCTACATCAGGTTCCGAACCTGGTTCCTCTCCGCATGCACTTCGCGGCCTCCGCAGGTTGCTGAAGCTGCCAGAAGATGCTAGGGACCTCTGCAGCAATGGGCATGAGCACATGCACGGCCAAAACCTCCTGCAGTGCCACCGGGGCATCGACCGGGAGAACGGTCGAGAGAGGGGCGAGAGAACGGCCGGTGTACAGGGAGTGAGATGAGATTCTTTGATGGATATGGGCTACGGATTTGGGGTTGGGATGGTTAGGATGCGTCTGGATGGTTAGGATTCAGGATGGTAAGCATGGACAAGCGACATAAAGCGCATGGACCGATTGGCAGAGGAGGGCGTCGGACCATGCTGAAAGACCTGAAAACATCTTAAAACCTAATCCTTGCAGCTAGTGGATTCGATAGATGTAGGATGATGCAGGTTTCTTTGGTAGGAGAAGTCACAAACTGCTAGGAAGCCAAACACCTAGGATTTCTTCAGGCCAATTCGGTTCTTCCTTTTGGGATATTCTGATATTCCAGTGTTTAAGAATGTCGAGAACGTCCTGCAACAAACATCACATATCTTCACTTGGGTACCCTATTGATCCTGTTGACATCTGTTTACTGTTCAAAGGTCCTTCTTGACTTCCATCTTGAAGGCATGCACCAAGTTCCAAAAGACCTTTCCTGGCGTGCGTGGGGGGGTGCTGGAAGCTTGCTCCAGCTTGGCAAACCTTCCCCGTCGGAGCACGGGATTTTCGGGTACGCACCCTTTTGGGGACGTGCATTTCATCACAGGAGTGGAAAGGTTTCCAGTTGGGCAGTCTCTGGAACCGGCTTCCGAAGTACACTGAGGCACTGGGCAAAAGCTTGAACCTACTGATCTTCTTCAACGAGAAGTGTGAATCTCCTTCAAGAATGTATGAGAAAATTGTATATGGTATATCATATATAGTCAGGCACCACCAGTTACCTCCAGCTCACCAGCTAGTCTTCAAGCGACCGTCCCCTATTCCGAGCGTTGGGCCCTCCGGGGGCCCTTCGGCCTTCTCGCCCAGGGCTCAAGAGTAAGCAAACGGTCACCGGCTGCCGTTCATTCTCGGTACTGCTTTGAACCTGCCATGGTGGCACCATTGGGGTGATCAAATGTTATTCAAACAGGTGCGTAGCATCCCTCCTGGACATGGAGTGTTCCGATGAGAAGCACATGGGCATGAGTGGTGAGTAGTCCCTTCATCATCCAGCCAAAGTGATGAATCCCTCCCCAAGGGTATCCTTTCCAAAAGGCATGTGCAGCAAATGCCCTGGTGTATCAGCAAACTTAACAGGGATAAGTTTTTCTTTGGGCTACTTACTAGCTGGCGGTCTCAGACCACTGACAGCTTGAAAGTAAAAAAGATCTTTTGCGGTGTGTGAGATTGAGAGTGCAATGAGAGATCAACACCTCCTAGTGTCGCTGGCTGGAGCTAGCTGACAGGCCGACCATCAACACGCAGAGAGTCTGCACACACACACACAAGAATACAACTCGAAATGTGCCTGCAAAACTACATGAATATAAACAAAAGGGGATTTGGGCACTTCGATGCTTCATTTAATTGAGATGCGTAGATATGCGTAGTTATAATTACCGGCCAAATTTAAGCTCTACAAGCTCTCCAGCAAGGCCAAATCACAACCAACTCATTTGACTGAGCAAAAATTGTCCGATTTGTCGGGTACTGCGTCAAAACAGGGGGATCCTGGTGAAGCAAGGCATGTCAACCTTCTATGGTTGGTAGGGTAGTGCGCTTGCAGACTCGGTCAAGTGGTGGATGGATGCATGCTAGTGTGAGCGCAGGATGCATCACCTGAATTTGATCCCAGGGTTTCTTGAAAGATCGTTGGTTGAAGATGTTGCGTGGCGAAAACGGTATTTCAGGTAAATCTTGTACTGCCCACTCAGGTGCAATTGGTGGGATACTAGCTGGGCGGTCATTATGGTATGGTGGTTTACTATATCACTGTCAGTGATGTACTGGAACAAAACGTCTGCCAGTTCGTTTGCACGCCGGATGATTGGGTGTGAGGCTATACCGTCATTATGCTTGGTGTGAACGCCTAGTTGTAGCAAGCTTTTAGCATCCTTTTTCTCCTTTTTCTTTGTGTAATCTGGGATAAGGAGCTGCTTTGACCCAAATTCCATGTGTCTATGCTTTGTACAGTAGGGTGAGGTCAAATGACCCGCTGCCATGTCTGACACCAATCCCTTCCGCCGGCGATGTCGCATGGTTTCCGCATGGCTTCCGCTCGAGACTCGCCTCATCTTCCTCACCAAGTGCATCCTGCAGCAGTGACGAAGAGGAAGAACCAACGATATGGAAGACCAAAGGAGTCAAAGGCCTCTACAGGTTTCCTAGTAACTGGCATGATGATGCATGCTACTTGAACTGCCTTCAAAGCGCTTCAGTCAGTCTACTGACAGTCTACTGTAAGACAACATGATTGATTCCAAATCACCTGCAATGACCCTGTTCGATCTCTGCATGGAGACCTTGGAGACGGTCGGACCACGGTCAGCACGGTCAGCACCCAGATCTCCCAGCGGCCGACAGAGCTGACAGGTGAAAGGGTCCACATGCACATCTGAAACATTTCATGCATTATACCGAATTAGACCATAATAAATACAAAATAATATACTATTATATATATATATACTACCATGTATCATCATAATATTATATCCTATTTATTATTAGTTATATATCATGTTTAATATCATATCATAATATAATATCCCTACTGCAACAATCCAGAAAGGAGGTCACCGGTCCGGTGTGGCACGCCGCACCAGCGTGCCCCGCTTCTCACTCCCGTCCTCGCGCCGGACCCGAGTCGTGCGACTGAGTCCTGCGCGACGACCCGACCGCCGAGCCGAGCCGGTAGGGGCTCACAGTATTCCACTTGGGCGCTTTCTGTTCATGGAGACGGTAGGGTGAGCCCAGTCATTCTTCCAGGATATTTAAAAAGGTGTTTACCTTTTTCTTTGATTCATCAACATGTCAACAAATGTCAACAGTTATGTTCACCAAAGGGTCACCTGCACAATACACTCCTACTACTCACCAAATCTCTTTTCCATGGTGTTCTGGCTGTCCGAGATGACTTCCTGGCCAGAAGTCGACTGTAGAACTCCTAGGTCGACCGGCCGACGGCCCACCCAGATGTGACCTGCAAAGCTATTCTTGTGGAGCTTCTCCAGGGGCACCAACGCCTGGGCGGCATGAATATGGCTGTACCATTTTAAGTATCAGGTATTACCTGGTTTCACTTCGATGGGTCGATGGCACTGTCGGCACTGGGGGGAGAACGTGGTTGACCAAACATGATCAACGCCGTGCGGCTCCGGGTTGGTATCCATCGCCGATGGTGCGGTGGGGGAGGTTCTCGAAACATCTCGAAAATATAGAAAACTCGATCCCCACGAACAATGTTTCCCGACATGCGACAAGATGCGCTGGGACTTGTTTCGCGAGGTTCAAGATCTAAACATTATTCGAGAAACTCTGCACAATGCCAAGCTGGCCAATCCCATCGAAAGGATGAAACCAGCGCCCGCGCCTCCTGGTTCAAGATCTTATTCATCTTGGGCAGCAGCCAATGCAATGGCGCTCGCCGCAAATCTGCGCCCAAGACTTCTTCCAGGTTTTCGCCTGCCAAGTCCTCAAGTTGGGGGCAAGAAGTTCTGTGAACAATTGTGAACAAATATACAAAATGCTGTTCACAGCCAAGAATCCACAGAGGGGTGTGATATGCTGGGACATCGTGCAAGATGGAGATTTTCAGGGGGTCCAGAATCTTGTCCACAGAAACCCACATGGAAAAAGAAGGGAGCATGGCAAGGAACATGATGACCGGGCACAGTCAGCATGACGGAGCTTTCGCTTCACATCCGAGGTCACCCTGAAAACAGCCTACCATCACAGTGGACGCCTGTCGTAGGGTCTTTCTCTCCCGCCGTCGCCGAGGCGCTAAGAAGCTCTGGGAGGCTGCGACGATGCCCGTGGCGGAGAAGGCCACACAGGGCAAGGCTGGGAAGGCTTCGCCCTGGTGCCAAGCGCATGGCCCGTGCAAATGACTGTGGAGGGACGGAAGTTCGACAGGATCAAACAGGTGAGGATCCTGCATGATTGTGTAATCTTAAGATTGTAAAGAGATGACTTGATCCGTGATCCAGGATCGAAGCAATGGTTTTCCACCGGTGTCAAGATTGTTGTGCCTGGAACTTGCGTATGAATGCACGGACTTCGGGCCAGAACCCCACGCTAGGGCAAGTAGCGTATGTTGTGTAGACCCTGGTAGCCTCTAGTGACTAGTCACAACCGGAAAACACACAAACACACAAACAAACAAACACCTGTTTCCTTCATTTTTTGGTGCTCTGTTGCTATGATCTGGGTACCAGTCACTGGTCAACATCTGGTCTTCACTTCCCCGTCTCGACCCGCCGCAGGCCTCGCGCATGGGCACGTCTTTGAGAGTAGCGTCCTGGAGACGAAAGCTCCAACTCCGGGGTCCAAGATGATGAGGCAAATCAGGCACGCGACGGAGTCACTGCGCGACGCCGCGGTTTCGGAGTCTGAGTGATGAAGCAACTCGTCCACCAACGCCGGAGCAACAACGCCCTGTACTCCAGACACATCGCCCATCACCGCCCACCTGCATAACGGCACGGCAAGTCCTCCTTTTCTGAACTGTCTGCCAACTTCAGTCTTGATTTACAAAAGAGAAATGAGTAAGAGTCAGCATCTTGTTTGGCCGGTCCATCCTTGCCTCCGACGTAACTCACAGCACAGTAAACACCTACTTCGACGTCAAAGACGAGGCAAATTGACCTCCGGCCCACATGCCTGGCACCCCACCACCCTTCCCCACACCCTTCTGGCCCACTTACCGCCTGCACACCTACCCCCTGGCACCTATACCCTTACCACACCCTTCACCACCCTTCCCCCACCCTTCTGGCCCTGTCCAGCATTTTTCGGCCGCTGGGCCGGAGACCACAGACCTGGCGCAGCTTCGGCGCGCAGCCCTTGGCCACCAACGTCCATGGCAGCGCCGCCTGACGCAGCTCGTCTGCTCAGAAAGAGCTCGGTAGATGGCGGTAGATCGTGTTCTCAGGGAGATCGTGATTCAATGAGATGGATTGAATTGGCATGAGGTGGCAAATGTCAACTGTTACTGTGAGAAGGAATCTGACACACCATGGGCGTAAACAACACACACAACATACGTACATGTCGCTGCAAAACCATTGTCCCAACTAACACTTGGGATCTAGACCCAGTTATATAAGTTAGACCATTTCGCATCACTCAACTACCTTGATAGACTTTGAGGTGATCTCATCAGTAATGACTGAAGTCTGCAATCAACGTCTGCAGCATCTCTGCAAAGGGACCCTCTCTTCTTTTCGGCACCAAGCAGGCAAACAAAAAGCAGGTGAGTCCCATGATGCCATAATTTAAAAATAATAACATATATATTAACTAATACCTAGAGTCTCAAAGAACCTCTGAACATGGGTAAAAGTACAAGTTTTCAGAGAGTCAGGTCACTTTCCACAATATATATATATATATTGTATAAATTGTAATTAAATGATATTAAGTACGACGACAACCACGACGATTTAATAAATAAGTGCTCTTGGTCCTCTCATCCCTTCTCCCGGTCGATTCACTCCACCTTTCTTTGGGCGGACTTGAGGCCCGTCTCAGCTGCCTTGGCCACCCAAGGGAGTCGAACGAACCGCAGCTGTCGGGGGAGGACGCAAGACGGGTGTCTGGGGATCCTTCATGAACCCAAAGGCGAGCAGCTCAAGTGGATCTACTCTATATAGAAATATATACAGGGATAACACTAAAAATAGGTACAAAGATCATACTGTACTATGTAATAAATATATATCATGCATTATTATGCAAGAGTTTGTTTGAACCTCTTTGGTGAAGTGTGTCCTACAAAGGGTGTTCAAGAATTGTCTATAGTCAAAGTGATGGATTTTGACACCAGGCACCATGCAAGGCAGCTTTGCGCATCTCGCACAGGTAAGTCTGAAAACCAAAGTCTTGTCATGTATTGTCAGTTGGTTCAACTTCAAACCAAATGCTCAAACCGTAAACGCTTGGTTGTATAGAACCATATGGAACCCAATTAAACCATCCGGTACCGATCTATGAAGCTGTATTTGCCTCTGACAGCCTGGGGACAGCCTGGGATGTCAACTGACCACTTTTTGGGGTGCTTCAAAAAGGAAACATTATAGTCACTGTACCATGTAGCATATAAAAGCATCGAGAACATCCCCTGCTTGTGACTAGTTTTATTGGAACCAGGTGATTTGCGGGGCAGTCACATCAGCCCTGAATGATACAGTATCAAGACCTCCCCTCCATCAAATACCTTCAGGGGACGTCACACAAATCTCAAATATTCTCAAGTCAGCTAGAGCTTAGCTTAGCGGCTGATTACACCGATCTGAATCACTGGGGTCATGGACATGGCTCCACCCAAAACAGGTTGTTGATCCAAGATTGGTTTTCAAAAAAGACCCTACAGGATAGCTTGGATTGCCGGCATTTTCCCACCCTGGGTTGTGCTGAACATCAGATCGCCCAATCTTATGCTAAAAATGCTTAAGGTCTGATACCACTTGTGCCAAACGCAAGATGTTCATAGTCGCCCGCCCCTTGGGCTACATGCTAAACTGAGCGAATCTGCCATGGCCTTCAGGCGCACGAAAGAAGACTTGTAACGAGTTGTGGCCAAATCCTTCTGGAACTGGAGACAGTTCCGATAGCAGTGGTAACGGCACTTCCTGGGGAAATACCTGCGGGATCCTGCAGGGATTGTGATCTTCTCCCACTTCACACAGCTAGCTTCTCCACCTGCTTTGGCAATCTCAAGTTTGATTTCGGCCAAATCTGATGGGCTCAGTGCCATGGCCGTCTGAATCATGAAGATAGGGGGGTGCTTCAGTGGAGGGTAGGGGTCGGTGGCCTTAGAACCGCTCACTTAAGGAGTCTGCAGTCTAAACCATTTATTTGAAAACAGATCGTTTCAAAACAAGGGAGTGCTGGTCAGATAGAGTTGGAAGTTGGAGGGTTGAACATGGAGATGCCCAGGGGTGTCCAATAGAACTTGCCATCCACTCGCGTCGCCCATGGCGTCTAAACGATTTCAGATTTGGCACCATCCCATCACAATGTAGACTCTTGATTAATAACCCCCCCATATATGATATGAAAAGGATTTCATGGGGAGATTTATTAATCAAGAGTCTACATTACAGTGTGGAGTCATAGTCTACTGAGTCTTCTGGAAAAAAAACCAGCGACGCTGAATTCGTGACGAGTCGTGGCCGCTGACTTTGTCGCTGCGGAATCGACGATTCTTCGGTTGTTCGATCCCCATGAACCAAGCAGGGCCTGACCAGGAATGTTCATTGGTCGCTGGGCGCAGAATCTGGATGGGTGGCTCTACTACCCTTCCAAACAAACATTATATAGTCAATGTTAAAAAATCAACCAGAGCCAACTAGGGGGAAAACCACCTCACTGAACCCTGCCCCACCATCTGCAGAAGGCACCAAGGATATTCATCCAGCGGACCCCACCGGACCCCGCCGGACCTCTGCATCCCACGCGAAGCCCAGAATGGGGGGACCAGGCGCGGCCGGCACGGTGGTGTTGCAAAAGTCCAGTGCTGGTATGTGCTGGTTGAGAGATATGGTGGTCATGTGTAATGCAGGTTTTTGATCAAACTATATACTGTTATTCAGCAATGCTGAACACATCTGAAAACCCCAAGAAACCTCTTGGACTACCTGACTACCTTTTGACCCATCTGAGGACCCATCTGGGGTCGTGTTGTATGGGTTGATTCCTTGGAAAGAAACATGAACTTGTTCGGACACTTCCTGCACAAGCGCGTTCAAACACTCTCAGCTGACAAATATTGATTATATATATAAGAGGTTCTGGGAGGGGTTACCCGGTTTGCTCCAGCTCAAAAACACACTACAGCCCGCCCCGCTGAGACGCCTTTGGCGTCCCTTTATGGCGTGTCGTCTTGACACGGAGAGGGGCCAGGAAAAGGCTGCAAAGAAAAGCGGCTGGAAAGAATCACACCAAAATCATGTCCAAGATAGACAGGGCTGTTGGCAAGACATCCATTCCCACGAAACAGTCAAGCAAGCGACTTGCTGGATCTCTCCTAGCTTCAAGCTAACATAGCAAAATCATATACAACTTCATGTATGGGATTCAAGACTCGAGCGATGAAGTGTGCATGCGTGTGAGCTTGGGAACGTCTCGGAAAAGAACGTGGGAACGTTTGCTAACGAGGAATCCACAACTAACACGCACAAAATGACACTGGAAACTACTGTTGCGCTGAGGCTAATGATCCTCCTAGAAAGTGGTTGGGGGGGTCAATTCTTTTTCCCACTTCGAGTGTCTCTTAGGTACTGAAACATGCTGCACCATATTGCACCTATGTTTGCTAGCACGACTCCAACTGATGCATGGAACCAGCTGGATTGGCCCAACCACCTGGATTGGCCCAGTTCGAGGCTCCAAAATAGTTTAGGACAGCATTTGGCGTCATCGGCCATGGAGCACCCGTTGGTAGATTGGCCCACCATGACATGTGTTGGCCATGACCATTAGCCCAAAGTGTGCTGACCGATGGATCCTTCTCGGTCGGCTCCCTTCCCAAGGGCGCCCTACGTAGCTCTTGCCTAAGGGAATCCCGGTTGCCTGTCTAGGGCGCCCTTCCCTTCGATCCCCGGTCCATCGCCTGACCTGCTTCGCGACGCTTCGCTCTGCAACGCCCTTCGTTCACTTCGCTACGCTTCGCTGCTCAGCCGCGACAAGGGTTCCGGTCCTCACTCCTTCGCCGCACGGTCCGACTCACCGGCGCGGGGGGCCGGCGCGGAGCGAAGCGGAGCGAAGGCCGAGCGAAGACCTCGCCACGAGGAGTCAGGGTGCTTTCGTGGGTGCTGTCTTTCTTGATGCGTGTTGACACGTCGCGTTTTGGTTTGAAACTGATACCGCGCATTCATCGGTCTGTATACGGTTTTCTGATCCGACCTAACTGCAGCTGTATGGTCTTGTATGGTCTGGTATGTACCTGGACCCTCCAAAGTACCGGACCTAAGGGGGACATGTCATGACCCAAAAAAGACAGGAAGTTGTACCAGGGCATCCAGGCAGTTCCCACGATGTCGCTGGTCACCAGTGGTTCCAGTTCGACTAAAACCATAGACCGAACGAATCCCTGGTTCCTTCTATAGTGGTAACTGGGATGCACTGGGTGTACCATCGTGGGCACATTTTCCAAGGCTCTTTGAGACTCCAGGTGCACACAAAGGGGCAAGCCATTGCGCCACATCCAGGTGTATCTCAGCCCCCAATTCCACTGTGGTGCAGGGCTTGGACCATTTAATCATCAAAACAACATACTTACTCGCCGAAGCCCAAAGTGTATCTCTTCTGCAAAGAATCCCTTCCCACCGGAAATCTGAAAGTCACTTCGTGCCAGTTCACCGCAGGATATCCCAATTCCTGTTCAAATCTTCCATAGGCTAGACCGATCGCTGCCAAAATGTATGCGTGGACCACTTTGCGGTCACTCCATTGAGGCA